CAAGGTCACCCAATAGGTTTCTGGGCTACCAACTCCCATAATCCCCTAGCCAGTGTGGTTTTGATTGGTTTGTGATTGTAAAAGTTGCAGTCCAAAACAAGGGCAACTTTTCTGTGCAAATAATCTTCTAACCAACATGGCCCAAAGCCATACTGGCTGGGGAATGTGCTGAGAGTTGAAAGTCAAAAGATGCAGCATTTCCATTTGTGTGTGCTCCGAAGGAGGATTATTTCCTTCTGTTGCAGCCAGCAGAGAAATCCAATGTGTTGACAAAGGAGAAATTTTGAGACCTTCCATCTTCAGTTTCATCTGCATGGAATCTTTTTCGCCATTTCAGTGAATGACTGCATGCAGGGCTATAAGAAACGTCTGATGGTTTCCCACTTATCTGTTATTTATTTTTATGAGACTGCTCTGGAACAAGTTCACTAGGTGTCATACTGTTATTTTAAAATCCTGTAATGAAAAAGAGAAATGTTCTTAAAAAGAAAGGAAGGAAGGAAGGAAGGAAGGAAGGAAGGAAGGAAGGAAGGAGTGCAAAAGGACAACAAAATGCAAACATAAAAATGCAAAGGCTAATATGGTGAGTGGCTTAGAATTTGGCTTGGTGTTTTATACTTGTGATACTGATTTCCAGTCAGTCTTAACACAACAATATTGAACAGAATGCTATTCCAATTCCCCAATATTATCAGTGCACTACTAATATTAAATAGAATGCAGGACATTGGTTCAATGTTTAGCATTAATTTATTACTGTAAGAGAGCCAGCATGGTCTAGTTAGTGGTTTGCTGGACTGGGACACTGATTGACCTGTGTTCAAATCCCTGCTGGGCTATGGAAACCCTCTTGGGTGACCTTGGAAAAATCACACTCTCTCAGCCTCAGAGAAAAGCGAAGGCAAACAGCTGGAAAAAAGAATTAGCTTTGGTCCCCCAATGCAGGAACATTGGCAGACTTTTACACTCCAATAGTGGTCTAATTGGGCCAGTGTGACTGAATGCTTGGTGTGCTGAATTAGGACTACCCTGAAGGCACCAGATCCTGCCTGATCTTCCAAGCTAAGCAGGGTCAGCCCTGGGTAGTAATTGGATGGGAGACCACTGACAAATACCATGTGCTGTATTTCAGAGGATGGGACTGACAAACCTTCTCTTGCCTAGGAAACCCCTATGAAAAAATCATGGGGTCTCCATAAGTCATAAGGCAACCTGAAGGCACACATGCTCCCCCCCCCCAAGAGATCAACAGTACATTTTGTCCTGCAATATCTGGAGAACGATTGCTGCTGAGTTTATTTCTGCCTTCCTTTCCCCAAGGGTATTCCTACCATGCTGGAACATGTACTGGCTTATTGTCTCAATGCTCCATCTGTTACATATTGCTAGGAGGGAACCTTGGACCATCTGAAGGTAACTTTGTATAAAACGGCATCTCAGATTAATAAAAACTTAGGCAACCTCGGTGACACAGACACCTTGATGATTAAAAGCACTGGATATGAAAAGCGGTCATGGTTCTCCATCTTCCTCAGAGGAATCAGTGCCACAAAGTTTGGTGGCAGTGAAACAATTTGGTGG